AATCAGTCATTAGTAGCCGACTGGAAGTAAATGCAGTCGAAACTGTGCTAAAGCCAGTTAATTAGTTTCTTGCGGTTTCAAGAGTAGCAACTCTAATGCCTGACCGCTTTAAGCCAGGCGCAGAAAATAACGTTTTTCACAAAATAAAATTAATCAACTTATCAATGTAGTGCTGTCATGGCTTTACTTAGCCAGAGGTGTATTTGTGAAAAATGATGATGCTCTCATTGGAAATCATGATTTGTATGTATCAGCATACTTACCATCGGACAGATTTTATACCATCTCTTCATTCTGTTAGTTTTATGCATTTAATTGTAAAACAACGATTGTAGGAATTTCATTCGACTCACGGTGGACTTTGTACTCCAAAACCACTGAAGTAGCCTTGAAGGTTTGTCACGAACTTTTGATTCGTGGACAAACCAAGTAGCCTTGGTTTAATGACCTTGCATTCATGTGAGATGTTTGAAAAATGGCCTTATGACTAGAAACCGAGATAGAAAAGACAAATTCAAGCACTGTTCACGCTAATTTTCAAAACCTTAGTGAAAAATTGTCCTCATGCGGTCGATGAGGCATGTCGAAAACGACAAATCTTTATGATTTGTCATCCGGAAATGACGATCAATAATGGCATCTGAATTGCACGGACCAAGAAAGTTAGTATAATTAGTGTATATCAAGTTCTAGTCCCTGATTACCAAATATATTTATCAAACTATGGAGTAATTATTCATTATTCTGATAAATGGGTTTATTTAACCATGGCCCATTAACCGCATCAGCAGACCTAAAAACTAAAATAGAATTGCCTTCTGAATTCTTCGCAATGATCGATTTTGCTTATAGGTAAAGGTGTGCGATTTTGGACACTGCTGCCAGCTGTCAGATCCAGAAACCGAGTACTTCATAGGTAAGCAAGAAGAGGAATTGCCGATACGCTGGAGTGCTCCGGAAGTGCTGCGTGACAAGCGCTTTTCAGTCCATTCCGACATTTGGTCATACGGAGTGGTGCTGTGGGAAATTTACACGTTCGCCATGGTGCCGTACACCGGCATGAGTTCCAGCGAGGTAACAGAACTAGTGCTTAACGGAGGACATTTGCAACCGCCCGACTTAGCGACCGAACTCATTCAACGCATGATGATCAGCTGCTGGAACGTCCAGGCAGACAATCGTCCATCATTCAGTGAGATAAGTGTGGCTCTGAAAACTGAAAGCGATGCTACAACAATGACTTGATGTTCAACCAATGGCTTTTGCCCGCTATTCGTTTTTTTTGCGAAATTTTCATTGTGCATATTTTTGATAGTTATTCCTGTTTGTGTGCTATTTTCCTCCAAGAAAAACCGTTCCAGAGAAAAACAATGTTTAGCTTTTACACAATAGCAAATCTTAATAACTTAGAAAAGATTCTTAAATCAAAATGAGTCGTCATCTATACGTGATTCTCGAGACAGCAGTTCAGTAGCGGAAGTATTATCGCTAGACGGAACGTTTTCCTTGATAGTCGCCAAAGGACGTCTGAACATCAAAATATGAGGCTCTAAAAACAAAAATGACGGTTAAGAGAATCTTACAATTAAAACGCCTCTATAACGTAAGGAAGATATAACAAATGTTAAGTAAAATGAAAAATATTTCCGGTGGAAGGTCACATCGCTCTTATTTGCATAGAGGTATTGAGATTGATTGCATATTTATCTCACAGAATACTGCCAAGTACTCTATGCTCCAGAGATTTGTATAATAAAAGTTAGGGGTACAAGTCAATGCCAGAAAGTCACGGCCATCAAATCTTTCACAGAGACATTCATTCGTTCATTTTCAATACTCGGTACTTCTTTTCCGTCACGGAAAAACAGCGTTATGAAGTGTTTTCAATGGCTTCATACGCGGTGGCAAGTTAAACTGATTGTGGACTTTATGTAAACTAATTTAACTAATCAGCGGATGAACTCTCAATTAAGAGCGACAATTGAGGGAAATGCGAAATATAAAAAAACAAGGTTCTCTAGAGATCGTAGGTAGAAATGGCCATGCCAGCGAGTTATAATGCTTAAAAAGAAATATGTTCCTTCCCTGACTGGATAGGAATAAGGCTTGATTGGGGAATCTCGTACACAAATTCAAGATTATACCTCGTGCATATGAAATGTCTTTCCAGTAGCACTGGTGACGAAAAAATTTGTGGTTTCTCAACAAACGATTAATAAAAGCAAAATGTCATACTGGTGACATTAATAGCAAATAGAGAATCAGGGTATCAAATGGCATTAAAACACGTGTCACTAATTGCAAAACTCCAACTGACCTAGTTTTACTGTATTATGGCAACGCTTCCTTCCTAAATGCACAGAGGCACATTTACGTAGGTCGTAGCAGAGTGCCTAACGTGCGCTTAACCGGGCGAGTCCCTCGGATCGAGAATGGAAGTTTTTGCATTATCGGCTGTCAAAATAAAATCAAACGATAATTCAGTGCCTGTTCTTGGTGGCAAGAAGCAAATGAAACCCTTTTTAACGCCTATAGAAGGGATAAGGGAAGAACTTAATCCGTAAAGGGAGCTTCTAACTCTCAAAATAAATCTTTTTTTTCGAAAATCCATTATCAAGTGTCAAATGGATACAAGAAACGAAAACAAAGTCGATACGGATTTCCAAGCTTACTATTCGCAAACAGACACAAATACACCAACGAATCGATCTTGTCAAATGCCACTTCAGTAAGGTCGTACATCCCAATTCTTACTAAATCGTGTTTTAGCTGTAGTGATGAAAACATAATCAATCACGTGATACGCGCAAAAGCACAAAAAGTCAAAGAAAAACATACGAAGATACATAAACAAAGGTGTCTGAGATGCTTTCATAAAAATGTCCATTAATCAGGACATCAATTGTATCAAAGTTCAGCTTCGTCGCAAACAACGAATACACTTTCACATACATAAACAAACAAAATCTAATAATTTCTCACGCGGTTTCTCTGTGCTAGATGCCTAAGAAATCAGCATACCAAGTCACGGCCTCATGATGTTTTATCATCTGCAGTGCACATAGGTCATCTCTTATACTTCACTGAAGCAGTGTAATCGTTCAAATACCAAGGAGCTGGGTTGTGAGTTGTGTTGAAACGGCCCTCTTGTAGGCACCTACGAGGAGTGGTGCTATACTGTGTAAA